AGAGGGGGAGGAGGTTGGGGGGATGGGGGTGGAGAAGAGGGAGGGGAACGGGGTGGGAAGGAAGGCAGAAATGTTTTTTTGAATGGACATAAAAGGTGTTCAGACAAAAACAAAACAAAAAAACAAACAACAGCAAACCGTGATAGTTTATTTCTCTCTTGTAACACATCTAATCTGTATCCCTTATTTGACCTAATTGTTTTGCAAGTGCAGTTAAACTCTTCCCACAAAAAACAAAACAAAACAAGCGTTGTCAAACTACCAAAAATACGAAATTTTCAAACCGCTGCTAAAGAACTCTGTAACTAAATCCCTCGAGCTCTCAAAATGAAACAATTAGGCGTTGTCGGACTACCAAAAGCACGTATTTTCAAACCGCTGCTAAATAATTTTTTTTCTAACTAAATCCCTCGAACTCTCACCATGACAAAGTCCCATCTGCAGAAGCGTCCAGAAATTCTCTCCAGCTCAAAGTCGGTGAAGGTCAAGGTCACTCGGCGACCTTCGGGCACGGTGATCCTCCAGCGACACAGACGTCGGTGGGCGTACGGGTTGGGGAAGTTTGGTGACGTCAGCACTCCGCTGGGGCTGTTTAAGTTTCCACCGCATTCTAGGGGGTACGTACATAAATAGATAAATAAATAAATGAACAAATAGAGAAGTAAGTAAATGAACAAATAAATAAATAAATAAATAAATAAATAAATAAATACTCCGCTCGCGCTGTTTAAGTTTCCATCGCATTCTAGGGAGTACATACATAAATAGATAAATTGAAAAGGAAGTAAATAAATACTCGGCTCAACCACACTCTAGGGGCAACATAAATAGGTCAGTAAATAAATAAATACATAAATAAACAAACAAATAAGCAAATAAATAAATATTTTAATACTCCGCTCAGGCCATTCGTTTCCACCACACTCTAGGGGTACATACAGAAATAGATAAATAGGTAAAGAACAGATAAATGGATAAATGAAAAAAATAAATAAATAAAAATAGATAAATAAATTTACAAAATAAATAAATACATAAATAAATAGAAAAATAATAAATAAAAATAGATAAATAAATTTACAAAATAAATAAATAAATGAATGAATGACAAAATAAATAGAAAATTGCATGAATGCATAAAAAGATCTGATATAATAAAAAACCCAAAAACAAATGATAAAATGAATAAATGAAGAAACGAAAAAAGAACCCTGGTCAACAAACATTTCACAGCATTAGATTTAAATGTGTGTATGTGTGTGTGCGTGTATGTGTGTGTGTG